ATATACACACACACATTGTCTGCATAAACTCAAAGTCTCCTGTAGGTTTCTCAGTTAATGCATAACAACAAAACAAGCATTTTATAAACAAACAAATGCATTATAGAACATCTTATTTGGACTTTGGTGTTATGATCTTTTTGAAGATCAAAGAAATGAAAGAAATGAAAGAGAAAATAAATTTAAACCTACTTTTTTTAGGTGTTTACTCACTTTACAGTTGATTTTATAATCCTGAAATTATCTTTTTTAGTGGCTTTTGTTTTTTCAGAGAGAATGTTCAGAGAGAATGGAGCAATAAGCTGGGAAACTTAAAGTACTATTTGAAAGCAATGGTTCTGTGATGGTTTAGGGCTGGGCTGGCCACTAAATTCTGAACTAACACTCTCTATCAAACAACTCTCCCTTTCCCAGAAGGGAAGACAAAGAGAATAAGGGAGAGAGAGACTTTACATGTTAGAAAAGAAAACTAACAGATTTAATGAAACAATAATACTAATACTACAGGATAATAATGTAAGTGGGAAAATAATGAAATATATACAAATATTTACAAATACATATATAAAGCCAACATATAATCCTCCCTCCACCCTCCTCCAATGATGAATACATCACCAGAGGCTCTGCAGAGCAGGGCACTGGAAAAGTCCCAGTCCAGACCCAGCAGCAGGTGGGAGCAGGATTCAAGAACACATGGATCAGGATCAGAGGCAGATGAACTAGCAGAGTTCTGCTCGGACTTAGGCCATTGCAGGATCAGAAGAGCTGGAGGGAAGAAGGGTCGAGATGGAAGGGTCAAGACCCTTGTGATCCCTCAGCTTTATGCTGAGTACAATGTATGTGGGATGGAATACCTAGTTGGTCAGTTTTGGGTCCGCTCCTCCCCCTAGGTGCAGATATGGCACCTATGGTGAGACAATGGCCTTGTCATTATCCCTTATAGAAGTACACACTGTCTGGAAAAAACATACCATTAGTTTCAGCAAGTTCAGCCACTTAGAAGAGACTGAACTGAAAAAATAAAATCACTAAATAGAAAATTAGTTCTATTTAGCTCAAACCAGGACAGGTTCCTTTTTTGAAATGTTGACAGTAATTAAATTTAACATTGTATTTGTTACAATCCAAGTGTACTTCCAACTAGCAATTCATTGAGCTACTAGCTTTAGACACACTTCTGTTTGAATAAAGAATAGTTAAAATTTCTTAAAAATGTTTTGAGCAACTTCTGTTTTTGTAAACATCAGTAGTGCTTACAACAATAGCAGAAATCATTATGCATTTTTTGAGAGAACTTATATTTACTTATCTATTCCATGAACACAGATTAAATAGAAAGCATTTTGAGAAGCTTTTATTTTTATTTTTCTGTCAAAATATTTCCAGTGATAGCAAAAAAACAGGACAATTAATGCTAAAAACAGGTGTCTACATCTAAAACTCATAGATCATCATCAAAGGGTTACCTTTACATTTAGTGGCCTTGGGATTATTTCCCAAAAGTGTAAATTTGCTGAGATTCTAGATAGAACTGAGAGGACATAAGCCAGTACCGTTGACAGAATCCATAAATTGAGTGCTGGGATCAGTGAAACTTCAAATATGTGTCATTAAGTGCATGTAAATAAGCATAGGTACACTTCTATAGGCTGTGAATCTTGCTCATGTTCTTATTGTGAAGCACAGGATGGGAAACTCATTGCTCTCCACTGTGCATATGAGTCTCTAGCTGGTTGATGCAGCTGTGTTAATGCCTGAATTTGCATGGTGTGACACATCCATATGAGAAAACATGGCAAAAGTTAAGGTGACTTGACAACACTCAGTGGGGCTATGTTGATTTGTAGTCTTGACATTTGCATTTTTTAACAGCCCTTTATAACAGATGCTGCTTCAACTGATATATGTATCTCACTTTATGTTTAAGTTTAAAACTAAGTCAAAATTGAGAAAACTACTGTATAATATTCAAGAAATTGAAAATAATACATGTCTATGGCCAATTAACAAAAGGTTAAAATATGAATCCAAAATAACCTTGCATAACTCAAGCTTGGTGGCTTTTATGGAACTCAGTGTTTATTATTTATCCTTAATCTCAAACAGCAGAATATGAAAACCCTGTGCTATTAAACATGCCTTTTTAGATTGCCATTTCTACTGATGTTCTACAAAGAACAATAAGAGCATTGACTTTAAGTCCTGGGCAATTTTTTTAGTCTAATTAATAATTTTGTCCATTTGTGATCAAGCCCGTTTTGACAGCTTCTGCTTTATGAAAGGAAAGCACTACAAATAGTTAAATTATTCCACTGCATCATTGAACTGAATGAAAAATTTATCCCTAAGGTATATGAAACAAATTTTCTAACACTTGTATAATATCAGTGAGGTGCTTTAGAGATGAAGGAGTGAAATTCTGTGAGAAATCATTCTGTGAATAAAGCCTTCATCTATGTCGTGCATGTGTACATGACAAAACACTGGAAGTACTGGGATCATCTGGAAAAGAGATGACTGAAATGTCATGCTGACTGGAATGCCACAGAAAAAAAGACTGAAATGAGCTGAGTGATTAAAACAGATGTTTGATGAACCTTTGGGTGAAATTAGGTTACAACGGCAGACTGCACAAAAACCATCTGAGGATAGATGGCTGTCTAAAGTACATTCCTATTTGATAAGCTGAACTATTTTCATTTCCTTCCTTTCACCAGTTTTGACAGATGGATGAATCATGTTCATTTGCAGATATCTTGTTTTGCAAAGATACTTGTTTCCCATACTGTGAAAGAAAAGAGGTTACACTTTCTGCTAATGAAAGAGGACCGTAGAAAACACTGAAATACTTCTTCCACCTCCTCCCATTGAATGCAATTGCAATGTGTAATATAACAAGGCAGATAAATTTTAACATATTTTCCAATTATTCTGACAAATTTGATCCCTCTTTTCATAACTACAGTAAAGGCAAAACAAATTATAAAGTATGGTAGACATCTTCCCATAAATTATTATCCTTATGATCTTATTATTCCAGCTGTTTTCATCCTGGATTTGCTGATCATGTGGCTCTTATGCTTGCATCCAACTGTTAGTAACAGTAAGAGAAGCTGGAAACACTTACAAGAGTATCCCAATATTAATTTGACTTGTAAACTATTGTTGTAGTTGTCATGAGGAATCTACTCAGTTTTCAGTGAGAGGGAGAGGTAGTTCCATCAGTCTAGTAAAATATGTTCTTTAGCTTAAAAAAGCCCCAACAAACTTCTAGTGAGAATAGAGGTAGAGACCCCTTTCTTCGCCCACATTTCTACAAAATTTAGATAAGTTATCTTTTTTTGTGTGCGTGTTTCTGCTATGAATTATTTTCTAAATTTATTTCTGTGACTGTAAGAAAAAAAAGCACCTTAATGATGCCTCAGACTGCATTAATGAAGCAGACTGCACTGAGCTTTTTCTTCACCACAAAGCATTCTCTTCTAATTCTGATCATATTTAGAGGTTTAGCTCTGCAGGTAGTCTGTGCAGTACACATCATGGGAAAAAGTAAAGAAAGACACCTTATCATGTTAGTAATTCTTCAGTTTTATGAATATTTGGCTTGATTAAACCAGAATCTTTAGTGCTGACACTGTGCCTAACATGAGGATTAATCTGAGGGATATTTGTAACAATTTCTAATTTTCATTATTACAGGATCAAAAGTTAGAAGACTGCTGAAGTGATACTTTCCTCAGTTTATCATCACTCAATACTCAGTTTCTGTGTTATTCCTGTTTTTTTGAAAATCTTTGGAATACAGGAGAGCCTGCAGGATTAAAACAGAACTATCAGTAATTGAATTTGTGCATAGAAAATCAGATAAAATTCACCAGATTTTCTGATAGAACTATCAATCCCTCTCACTGGAAAGTGTGTGTTAAGAAAGGAGATGCTTTTTGTAGTGTTTTGTCATTTCATGTTTTTCCAAATGTAAATATTTCATGAGCTAAATTATTTCTAAATTTGATTATTTCCTAGGATTTGTGACCTAATCCTCAGCAGAAATTAGGAATTTGTTGTTCTGCTGTAGAAGCAGAGTGGGACAAAAGACTGAGTTACAATTTATTGCCCAGTCTTCCTCTGCTCCCTTTCCCTCTGTGAGGGAGGTGCCTCAGTCCTTGTGTAACCCTGAGACAGCAAGTTGCCCTCCAGCTGGTGAAGATATTCAGTGCAGTTCAGGTCGTGAACATTGCTGGATCACCTGAACAAATATAATGGTTGCAGCAGCCCTACAAATATTTTCTTCCCTCCCCAGCCTTCCATGAGCTGGAGCAAGAGGAGAGAGGAGTGGTCATATTCCTTTGGAGTGGATGCATAAATAGCTACATAAAAGGTACTCCTAATAAGATACCAGTTAAATATAGTGATCCTCTTTTCTTTCAAAAGTCACTTTGTGGGAACCCATTCCACAAGTCGTTTCTTAGGAAAAGATGCTATGTTCCCACTAGAATCACAAATGAAAATTATGGAAAAAGTTTATTAGTTGAGAACTGAGGCAAGAATTATGGCTTGGGTCATTTAAAATATTGTGGGCAGTTAGGAAGCTTTTTTTCCAGTTTCAGCCTTTTCTATCTTTTTGAGTTTGAAATTAATTTTGGAAGCAGAGCAGTTTTGAAATTGAAACAGGATAATTTCAGAACTTTTAAACTCTTCCCACTTTCTTAAAGTGAAAGATGTCTCAACTGACTGTTAACTGTAATGCCAGGTTTGCATTTATCAAAACATTTCTGACTACTTTTAGGACAAGTACTGACTTTCTTAGAAATTAAACTATACTATAGTGTAATTATCTAAACTGCATTAGATTAACTAAAAAATCAGAAAGGATTACTGTAGTCAGCCAAGTTAATCTCTTGTGCAAAAAGATATCTTGAGCTTTGTTTACTTAGATGCTGTTCAGGCTCATTTTGATAATTTAAGATCATAGCATTCTTTGTGAAGTTGTCATCTGCTCCCTTGTTTAGTTGCTTTGCTCCCAAAGTGAGTGATTAGATGAAAAAGAGGCAAAGCTCCCAAATTCTGTCAAGTTGTTTTGAGATTAAATGCATCTGCAAAGGCTTGCTGAAACCCCCTTGGATTGAAGAAAAAAGATCCCTCTGCTTCTGCCAGCTCCTAACATGTAGGTGTGACCTGCCTGCTTAAAGGGCATAAAAGCTACGGGAAAGATTTCTTTCAGACTGTGCTTCCCACACAACAAACTCTTGTGGAGGGCTGAATGCAGCTACTTTTTAAAATTCTATCCTGTTTAGATTTTTTGTTATTCAGCATGATGCGTACCCAAGTTTCAGCAAGTATTCTTGCTGAATGACTTTGTGTAAAGCTAATGCATACATACTTTTAAAGACTCAGCTTCATTGTTTTAAGATATGCCTATAGTCTTTAGGTTGTAATTTCATTTCTCTGTTTACTTTAATATTAATTAAACCACTAGCACTGAAAGTATGTACATAGAGTACTGAGTTTAATTATAAGGTTATTAGAAGGTATCAGTAAGAGAGAAAATGCCAACATCTCTAAGAAAGAAGAGGGTTATTTAATAAAATATAAGCCTTTTTTTTCAGTTCAGTAAGACGCTCATGTCTGCACTTGAATGTTGTATACTCTGTTCTTTTCTGCATGGCTGCTTGTCTGTTCCAGTATAAGCATTGAGCTGGTGTAATTGTGTACATTGAAGAGATGTGCACCTGTCTCATAATGGAAAACACCAGCGTTTTGCTTGTCTGACATGTTTGCTTCTGGCCCCATGGTGGATGATAGCTTCAGGATCTTTGGGAAAGGAGGAGATGGGAAAGACCTGCAGGAAAAATTAAATTAGCCCATGATCTGCTTCCTGCCATATCCTGAAGAATGTCAGAGGGTTCATAGAAGAAATCCTTGCCAGAGAGTTTTAAATAAACCTTTTTGGCTACTTGCTGGCTTTTGTTGCAAGTAATTCTGAGAAGTAGAAAGAGTTTTGTGAATCACATGTAGCTAAATAACTTTATCATCTTCATCTACTTTAGGAAAGAATGATCAGTAATCGTAGAGGGCAGTTTATGAAAGATTGTAACTCTTTCACAGAGATAATATGCTAAAAAAATTATGCCTTATCTACTGTATTTCTAAAACCAAAGTCACCTCATGAAAATGTTGATTGTTTGGCTTTGATTCTTTTAGTGTCAAAAATCTAGGTTACTTCACAAGTGCAGTTGAAGAGAAATCCTTCCAATTGTATTAGATGACCTTTGCACAGTAAGAAAGATATTAAGATGCCATAAACTTTCACAATTGTGTTTCGTCTATGAGTGTATCTGTGAGATGGGGTCCTCTATGCCATTATTATGCACAGGACAGCGTCCAAGTCACTGATGGTTTTGCATAAAAAAAAGCAGCAGATAATACATCTTACAATTTGATCATGCTTTCAACTGCTTCATACCTTGATGGTCAGGCACTGACAACAGGTGCCCAGTCACACTTGCATCTGAAGGGGACCATAAGAGGTTTAATAGTTCATTAAAAGCAAGCATATTTCTTTTGACCAATTGCAAGCCTCTCTGTATGCAACAAGAATCAATTTGGGGGTTCAAGGGGTGCACATAAAATACTGTGTCATGGAACCTTGTAGAAAAAATAAATTAAGACAAATGCAGCTCCTGCATCTTCAGATTCAGTACAGTTCATTATTCTGCGTTCAAAATGAAGGGATATGTAGTAATTTTTGGACGCAGATGCCTAATAAAAAGGTCATCCTCACAGAAGTGTATGTGCCTACATTTCAGGTGAAATCTGGTCTTAGATTGAGACTAAATCAGCCTGAGGTATTACTGACCAACAGACATCTCAATGAGTAGCTCCCATGCTGCCCTGTGGCCTGACAGGACCCCATTCCTTTCAGCTATATCTTCAAAACAATGAAGTGATTTTCACTTTATAAGTTCTTTGGTTCCTGGGGCATTGGAATGGCTGTTTTAATTTGGATAAAGCAAAGCAAGTGATAACACAAGCTGTTTAGAAAATATCTTTAAGAAAATTTATCACTTACTGAAAAATTGATTTGAATATCTTTGCAAATATACGGGAAGAGGCATTTTTTTCTTTCAGTTAAGAATTATATGTAAAATCCACTTACTGTGAAAAAATATATCTATGAGAAATAGGAAGTTAATTGCAACTATCTTTTACAGTTTTGTTAACAAAAATAGAAAATATTTAAGTAGAATACTGTTTAGAAATTAGGTTGGAACTCTTTCTGGGATGGTCTTATGAGACTTCTTGTACCTGACAGTGCCTATGAAGCAGGAAGCATACAAAAATAGCCTTTGTATCTTTAACAGTGCATTTACCTTACTGAAAATGAGTAAACACACTTATGAAAGAAAAAGAAGAAAAAAATAAAAAGGCTTTTATCTTACCTTTGAGTAGATACTCAGCTTCTTTTCTTTCTTATTTCCTACTGCAATAATTTCAATTTTGCATAGGTTTCATAACACTGTCAAGATTTTGATCTTACAAATACCATAAACCACTGTGGACTGGTAAATTGCAATGCATAGGCTGAGCCTTAATAACAAGGCATGTACAAGCTCATCACACACCATATCTGGAACTTGAATCATGATCAGCACCTAATCAAAGCCACATTGCCCTGTATTTCCTTTAATAACATTTTCAAGGACAATTATGATGACTTGGCAGGCAGCTAAACACTCAACTGAAGTCTTAGTCATGTAAAGCGCAGTAAGTTCATGTGTGTTTCTGCCCCTTGTGACCATTCTGTTGTTTAAGAATTGTCATAGTTTGTGCAGCTGCAAATATGCCAATGATTTGGACATCTGATAAAAACACAAGATCCAACCAGAAATTTAATGAGATATAAGCCCAGTAATATTTGTAACAAATTTGATAAATACAATAAAATTCTAAAATCATGTAGGTGACATTAAATATTAAATTCATATCATATGAAGATGCAAATACGAGGAACCAGAAATGACAGAAGTCTGATTTCACGCAGACTAGTGAGCTTTATGCTTATTCTTAAAAAGCAAAACTAAATCTATCATGGGAATAAATCTTTAATTAGATTGTTAACACTGACGATAAATGTAAGTGTGAATGTACAGATATTTCATTTTACATAATTATAACCTTTCTTGCATGAAACCAGAGTAATTAGTTTAAAATTCCCAGCAAAAGCAGTAATTGCAATATATGTATATATATATGTTTAATACATATAGCTCTTACAAAACAAAGACTTTGGTTGGTCATATACATCTATTACTTTTGAAACTCTATTTTTCTTTCAGTTTACAGTGAAGCTTCATAACAAGGGATAAAATGACAAGAGGGAGATCCATATGAGCTAAACCAAGAGGGTCACTATTTAAGAGCAGCAGAACATTCTCTTTTTTTCCTAATAACCCAGTTAAAATGGGTTAATTGTGTAATATCCTCTTAACTCTATACATGAACATTCAGTATGTACATGCAGTTTGAATTTTTCTCTTCCTGAAATGGTGCTTTCCAGACTTGAGAGTGATTTCATAATCAGTCAGTTTACCAGAATCATGATCCTGGTAGAACTGTCAAATTATTGTTTTCATGATGATTATCAAGGTCATGTTTACTTGATATTTTGACATGTGTCAATAGAATTAAAGTGATGTTATTAGCCTCATTGATAGAACTGATGGCACAGCACCTTCATAAATCTATTTTTTACAGAAAATGTCCACATCTCTACCACAGTAAGATAAGAGTAGCTGCACAGTGAAGGAAAGAGAGGTACAGGACTTTATTGTCTTTTTTTTTTTTTTTTACCTCCACTGAACTCAGATGAAATAGCAGCAGGTATTCAGTGTAAATGCCATTCAAACAGGTATTGCACAATATCTCCCAATTACAAAATGGCAAGGTCAGAAGGAGATTAGAAGAGAAGAGGGGAACTAAAAAGACAGTGTTCAATAGCAAATATGTAGGAAAAGATTTTTAGCTCTGAAGCTGAGGAACACATGACATTTTGCAAGTGTCTTTTCAAGTAAGCTAGCACTTGTAATTGAGTGAGGTATAGCAGAAGAGCTCACAGCAGGCAAAACATCTATCTCCTAATCTAGTCATCAAAAAGACACAGGCAAACCAATGTGGCATGATACAGAAATTGGTCTCAAAGCCCAAAACTGCTTTTCAGTCTCTGTAAGGGAATTGTTTGCACCATATGTTTTCCTTAAAAGCTGATCTACTGAAATGGTGCTTTAGAAGGAGAAGTCCTACACATACAATGCAAATTATGGTAGTCTGAAGCAACTTCCTCCAGAAAGCATCACCTCTATCCCTTTGAGCTATGGCACTGCATAAAATTTTATTGATCTACAAAGATCGCATATCTCCATCAAGGCTTCCAGATTTCCAAGCTGGAAATTTTCTTAGCTATTCTCTTTGCAATATTTGCCTTGCCAGTGAGGCTTGTAATTTCTTTGTTTCCAACCGTTACTATCACCATAACCTTTGTCCTTATCAACCTTCATTTTTTTTTGCTACTGTTTATATCCTCCTCTCTTGGTTTTCTGTTTGCTTACTTTATAATTTATGCAAGAATTTGTCATTCCAGCCAGTGCCACTTTTCTTCCATGATATCCAAAATCCTTGTTCTTTTCTGTGTGACTTAGTACTTAGACCCTGTACTTATCCCTGTGTCTCCTCCTCCTTCTCTCCCTCAATGACACTGATGATGGCTTTTTATTATTGATGTTTGTTACTTTCACTTTTAAATTTAGCAAAATTTCATTCTGATTTCTGTATACGAAATGCTTGCTTGCTTGCTTGCTTTCCATCTGACTACATCCGGTATTCTCAAATTTATCCAAGTTTTAGTTCCTTTTTTTAGTGTTTCATTTCTGAAATAATCAGGTAAAGCCACAATCCCTTAAAAATGACTGGGAGTTTTTCCAATGATGTCAAGAAATATTTGGTGTCACTGCCCCAGCTGCAGATATCTCTTCTTTTAATCCTTCCTCTGTATGCATCCCATCTATTTTCCAAGCTGCTAGAAGTTTTATAAAGGGGTCTAAGTCAGAATATATGACATGGCTTTATCTAGAGCTGACTATCTCGTAGTTTTGTATCATTTTAATAAATAGCCCTCTGTGAGTTTGAATTCTCCTGCACACCAGGAGAATGGAACAAAAATACACTGCAGGCAGGTCTAGTTTTCTAAATGTCCAAACCAGGAATAATACTAAATACATTATGTCCTTAAACAATGCCATACATTGCTTTACTCCTACAGTAGAAGACTGTAAGCATGAAGGAGGCATAGATGTAGAAGAGAGAAATATGTGGTGCATTTCCTCCTGTCTCCTGGGCAGGAATGTCAGAAGCGGATCCTCTTGACTAACTGCTTCCGTTATTGGCCTTCTGTGTACTGATGTAGTGCTGTATGACACTTGGGTAGGTTTCCTGCTAGACTGCGTGCTAGAGAGAAGCCCTGTCAGCAAGAATTGCTCCAGCAGCACTTGCTTTGAGAATGTGGTTCAGAGCCAGGCATTTTAGTATCGCAGCTGGGCATTTTAGTATTTGAATATATCCATATTACAGAATCACAGAATCACAGAACG